GTCTGCAGATCAAATATTAAAAGCTGCAATTTGATTGGCTCTCTCTAAATGCAAACCTTCCTAAATGCACGTTTTAGGCTGGTCTGTACATGTTGCATTTATGGAGGTTTGACTGTACTAGGTATATCGAATTTAATGAAAAGCAAGTAATTCCTCTAATAAATGCTTCATATACCTATTAGAATTGACATCTGCTAATCCTTCTATTCGTGATGAAACAGAAATTTTTCAAAAAACACGTAGGTTTGATTTTTTTTTTTTAAAAAAAATCTAGATACAGTATATATAAATATATATATAATTCATTTACTCTATTTATATTTGATATATTTCTTCAATTATTAGTTGGTGCTTTTATATCAGAAGTTGGAGGTGCATATAGCTTTTTTGCTGCAATAATAACATTAATTTTTGGTGCTTCGAAGTTTAGTCCATGGTAAATAATTAAATGTTTCATTTTCAGTTTAAATACATGCAAAAATTTCTCATCTTTACATTAGTATCTAATATATTTTATTTTAAGTAAAGAATATTTTAACTGTCACAAAGGTGTATGATTTTTGCAATGTACACTAATGAATTATTAGCTAATTTAATCTTAAATTTTAATATTAATAGGAATTGTTGTGAAAAATGGCCAGTTTACAGACCAATACGTCGACAGCTTAAAAAAGATTATGCCGAACGGTATAATACTAAATATGGAATTCCATTAATAGATAATCTATACGATGAATACAAAGAATTAAAGGACAAAGAAATAAAAGACGAAAAAATAAAATATGAAAAAATAAATGGTGTAAAAATAAATGGTGAAAAAATAAATAATAAAAAATAAATGATGAACCAGAACAAGATTCAGAACAAATAAATGATGAACCAGAACAAGATTCAGAACAAATAAAAGATAAAACAGATTCAGAACAAATAAAAATACTTACACAGAGGTTAGCTGCATTAGAGGATTTGTCAAAACTACTTATACAGCGATTAGCTGCATTAGAGGATTTGTTAAAAGAACATTATCTTGACACAAGTATACTGGAAAGTATTAAAGCAGTGCGTGAACGTATCGATGAGGATGAGGATGGTTATGAACCGTGTTGCTAGCTGGAAGACTGGAAGGTCACTAGACTTCCAAATTATTCCTGTCAGTTGACTAGATGACATTCTTATTGGAAAATTTTTATATTTATAAACTAATCATATTTTATTAATATTACTTGTATTAATTGTTTTCAAATTTTA